AGAACCCAAATCCTTTCTCAACTACTGTACAGGATGAAGCAGCGCAAGCTTGCTACGCTCGAGCCGGGCTTGCTCTCGTAGTAGACCGTGTGTTAGGTTATTTATTTATTGAATTAGAGTTCTGTGCGCGGCTCTGCCTCGTGTTCGTGCTGCCGCGGACTGGGAGACGCTCCGTTTCTTTCCCTTCGTTTCGTTTCTCTCTTTGTGGTCGTTCCCATTCGGGGCTGTGTGAGGATGAGGGTGAGGAAGGAGCCGATGGGGTGGGGACTCCCCGGCGCTGCGCTGCTGCTCCGTTCCCAGTGCCAAGCTTTGCCGTGAACCAAAGTTTCCTTCCTGCTGCTGGCGTTGTTCCGAATCACGGCCGGATCGCGACGGCCGACGGCAGCCACGTCAGCTCCTCTGCAGCCTCGTTGGGAACGCGCAGAGTCTGATTTCCCGGTGACGTTCCTCCATCGCATCCATCCAACCTCCTCTGGGCGGAGGAGCCGCCTGCGCCCCGTCGGCGTCCAGTTGGGAACTGCCGTCATTCCGCGATGGAGGTTGGCCAACCGTTGGCCACAAAGCGGAGCTGCATGGTGGTGTCCCAGCACCCCTCGTCCCGCAGGCACCGCTCAAGATTCCTTCATCCACCTCTGGTCGCTGCCTGCTGCAGCTCCTCGCCGCGTCCTCGCCGTCACTCACGCACAAGAAAGGAGGAGCTGTGGAAGCGCGGCCCCGCAGCCGCGTCCTGCAGCCAGCAGTTCTCCCTGCTCCACAGCTGTGCCCGGATCGGAGATTTTGGGAAGAGTCCGCGGAGCTGTTGGATGTTTTATGCTGGGGGCAGCGCTGGGCCGAGCGTCTGTCCATGGAGTGTTCCTACACTGAGCTTCCCAACGCCGGGCGTCCCTACGTGGCTCAGTTTCCCGGTGCTGAGCATCTACACGTTGAGCACCCCAACGTGGAGCTCAGCACCCCAAAATGGAGCTCAGCGCCCCAAAATGGAGCTCGGCAGCCAGGTTGGAGCTCAGCACCCCAAAATGGGGCTCAGCTGCCAGGTTGGAGCTCAGCACCCCAACAAAGAGCTCAGCACCCAACTTGGATCTCTGGACCACAGCATAGAGCTCGGCACCCCAACATGGAACTCAGCCCCCCAAATGGAGCTCAGCACCCCAACAAAGAGCTCAGCACCCCAAAATGGAGCTCAGCACCCCAACAAAGAGCTCAGCACCCCAACAAAGAGCTCAGCACCCAACTTGGATCTCTGGACCCCAGTATGGAGCTCGGCACCCCAACATGGAGCTCTGGATCCCCACATGGAGCTCAGCACCCCAACAAAGAGCTCAGCAGCCAACACGGTTCTCAGCACCCCACACTGAGCTCACCACTGCCCCAGGATCATCTCTCCCGGCGGCCGTGCCGATTTCTAAGCCCTGATTTACCTTCATTTCTCTTCCAGGTGATAGGACAAAAAAAAAAATAATCAAAAAAATTACCCCCCCAAAATGGCCCCACCTTTTCCCACCTCTATTTTTAAAGTCCTTCTCCATGTCATTCTGCTTCTCCTGTCAGCTTTTCCGCTTGCTTGGCTTTTCCTAATCAATCTGGAATTATAATATTCTGTGATCATCTCTAAATTAAAACGTGTAATTTTTTTTTTCTTCTTTTCTTTTTTTTTCTTCTTTTTTTAACGTAACACATTTTTAAAGAATTAGGAAAAGGAGATTTAGGTAACACCAGCAAAATCGCATAAGGAGAATAATTCAGTTCTGATCTTTAGAAACAAATGAGACAAAACCCATCATCGTCAGCTGCAGAGAGGGCAGCAAAACTTGGAGAACATTTTCAAGAGGATGTTTTAATTATTGATGTCTGAGTGATTGTATTAGAGCAGCAATAAAGACTCTGTAATCTCAAAATGGAAATAAAACATTGGAAAACCGACGTGCTCCAGAATTGGGGATGAGGGATGGGATGCGATGGAGGTGAGGAGTGGGATGGGGTCGGGATGGGAGTGGAGTCAGGGTTGGGCTTGGACTTGGAATGGGGAAGGGGATGGGGATAGAATTGGGTTGGGATAAGGCTGGAATGGAAAAGAGAATGGATGGGACGGGGTTTGGGTTGGGATGGGATGGGGGTGGAGATGGAGATGGAGATGGGATGGGGATGGGATGGGATGGGATGGGATGGGATGGGATGGGATGGGATGGGATGGGATGGGGATGGGATGGGGATGGGGATGGGATGGGGATGGGATGGGATGGGATGGGATGGGATGGGATGGGATGGGATGGGATGGGATGGGATGGGATGGGATGGGGATGGGATGGGGATGGGGATGGGGATGGGATGGGGATGGGATGGGATGGGGATGGGGATGGGGATGGGGATGGGATGGGATGGGATGGGATGGGATGGGGATGGGATGGGATGAGATGGGATGGGATGGGATGGGGATGGGATGGGATGGGATGGGATGGGATGGGGATGGGATGGGATGAGATGGGATGGGATGGGATGGGATGGGATGGGATGGGATGGGGATGGGATGGGATGGGGATGGGATGGGATGGGATGGGATGGGATGGGATGGGATGGGATGGGATGGGATGGGATGGGATGGGGATGGGATGGGATGGGGATGGGATGGGGATGGGATGGGGATGGGGATGGGATGGGGATGGGATGGGGATGGGATGGGATGGGATGGGATGGGATGGGATGGGATGGGATGGGATGGGATGGGGATGGGGATGGGGATGGGGATGGGATGGGATGGGATGGGATGGGATGGGATGGGATGGGATGGGATGGGATGGGATGGGATGGGATGGGATGGGATGGGATGGGATGGGATGGGATGGGATGGGATGGGATGGGATGGGGATGGGATGGGATGGGGATGGGATGGGGATGGGATGGGGATGGGGATGGGATGGGGATGGGATGGGGATGGGATGGGATGGGATGGGATGGGATGGGATGGGATGGGATGGGATGGGGATGGGGATGGGGATGGGGATGGGATGGGGATGGGATGGGATGGGGATGGGGATGGGGATGGGATGGGATGGGATGGGATGGGATGGGATGGGGATGGGATGGGATGGGATGGGATGGGATGGGATGGGATGGGATGGGGATGGGGATGGGGATGGGGATGGGGATGGGGATGGGATGGGATGGGATGGGATGGGATGGGATGGGATGGGATGGGGATGGGATGGGGATGGGATGGGATGGGATGGGATGGGATGGGATGGGATGGGATGGGATGGGGATGGGGATGGGGATGGGGATGGGGATGGGGATGGGATGGGATGGGATGGGGATGGGATGGGGATGGGATGGGGATGGGATGGGATGGGATGGGATGGGATTGGGATGGGATGGGATGAGGATGGGATGAGGATGGGATGGGATGGGATGGGGATGGGATGGGATGGGGATAGGACCCCAAACCCCATCTGGATGTGGCAAATGTTTGTTGAATGGCACCACTGTAGGGTCACTGCCCTCCCTTCCACCCACTGCCTCACTGACAGCCTCCAGCTCCCATCCTATAGGGTCAACCCACAGCCCCCCCAGCCCCTTCTATGGGCACCAATACGTGCCCCCCCCAGTTCCCAGTATCCTTCATCTCAACGGTGCCCCCCCTACACCCCAACACCCCCACAGACCCCACCCCCACCCAATAGCAGGACGGGGTGAGGGGGTGTGTCCCCCAAGCCCCGCCCCCTCCACGGAACAGCCAATAGGAGCGGGGGGGCGGGGCGCGAGGCGCGGCCCCCACGTGCGCGGAGGGGCGCGGAGGGCGCAACGCATGGAGGAGGCGGCGGGGGGGGCACCGAACCCGAACCCCAACGTGGGAAGGGCCCGAATGGGGCAGCCTGCAGCGCAGCCCCCCGCCAAGGGCCGGGAGCTCTTCAGGGGACAGCGGAAGGAGTCCGAGGTGGGGACGGGGGACACAAAATGGGGCTGGGAGCGCTGAGGAGCTGCGGGTGGGGAGGGGGGGGGGGTCGGTTGTTCTGTGGGTGCGTGCTTCCATCCCACAGGCACGGGGAGTCCGGGGGGGTCCTGGTCCGGGGGGGGGGTGGAGGGTTCCCTGAGCGGTTCCCAGGGTCACAGCGCTGGTTATCCCAGTTGTGTCGTGTCCCCCCCGCACCCCAATGCCCCCCCAGAGCCCGTGGCTGCTCCCCGCACCCGGACACCCAGCGCAACGGCACCGGGGGGCCCTGAGCCCATCGCTGCGGAGCAGCCATGACCCACAGTGGGCTCCTGTGTTGGGTGCGCCGGGGCTTCACTCCCCCCTTCGTGGCCCCCCTGATCCGATTAGTCCTGAATTCCTTCTGGGATTTAGGATCCCGATGGGGATCCGCAGCCCTGGGCTGCAAAAACGGGGCGAAAAAAGCGGAGTTTTGGTGCAGAGCGCTCAGCCCCGTGCTGCACATCTCGGGGGTACCCATAGGAACGGGGCCGATGTACCTCGCTCCGCCCCACAGCCAGAGGAGGGCTATAGAAGTGCCATCCACGACCCATTCATGCGTTCCCTCCCCGGGGTTTCACGCTCCAGTTCCGCTCCCGCTGCGGGAAATGGGGGAAGCGGGGTGGCGGTGGGGAAGGGGGTTGGGGGGTCTGCAGACCTGGGGAGGGACGCAGGGAGAAGGGACAACCCTGGAATTTAAGCTGGCAGGAACTGGGGAGCGCAGGTGGGGCTGTGTGGACGCGTGCATGGGGCTGTGCGCCGGATGGAAGCCATGGATTTCAGACGGGAAGGACTGCGGTCCGCGCGCGGGGCTGTTGGCAGGGTAAAAGCTGCGGGTTTACGTCGGGATGAACGGGGATGCGTGAATGGGGCTGCGTGCAGAATGCAAGCCGTGGATTTAATGCCGGGAGGTTTTGGGCTGGGGAGAAATGGAGAGCACGTGTGGGGCTGTTGGCAGGGCGCAAGCCATGGATTTGAGCGTGCACGGGGCTGTTTGCAGCCAGGGCTGGCTGCTATTTTTACGCACCACTTCCAAACACGCAGGGCTCTGTGGATTTCCCCACCGTGGAGTTCGAGTACGGGGACACCGACAGCCATGGCGCAGAGCTGGCAGGTGGGGCTGTGGGGTGGCAGCGTCCTGGTAATGAGAGAGAGGAGGGTTTAATTAACGGGGGGGGTTAATGACATAGGAGCATAGGGAATGTATAGGAAACAGTGTAAAACCCCAAATCCTGGAGCTGTTTGCGAAATTACTGGGCAAAATGACTCTCCAAAAAATTCCTATGTCACTGCAGATACAATGGGGCAGTGGGGGAGGGGGGGCAGTGGGGGAGGGGGGGAGGTGGGAAGTTCCCCTAGGAGTGGCTGTAGGGTTCCTGCATGGCTCTGGGTCCCAGTTTTTATGTCACACTGGAATATCCATGCTGTCTCCCCATTGCCTCATGGCAATGTGAAATGGGATCAAACAGGATGGGTTTAGGATGCCCAAGGGAGTTCTAAAACTCCTAACCCCATCCTATTTGATCCCAATTCGCAGAGCTCAGGGACACTGAGATATCAGCACTGTCCCCATTTGCCCCATGTGCACCCACCAGGAGAGCTGCTCTGAGGCTCTGGCTCCCATTTGGGTTATATCAGATTTTAATGCCACGCTGGGATATCTGCAGTGTTCCCATCGCCCCATGGCAAGGTGAAATGGGACTGAATGGATGGATGTGGAAGCGTTGAATGGGAGCCCAGTGCCCAGTGGAGCTTCCAAAGAGAGCTCCAGGACAAGGCTGGGGTTCTGCTCCACATCTTGGGCACATGGGAGGAATTTGGTGGTGATAAGAGGGGTGAAAACCCTTCCGGTAACGGCTGACCCTGTTCCAGCAGAGCTGTACAGCTACACCGAGGAGCCCGAGCTCAGCACCAACCGGCGATGCTTCGAGGAGGAGTTTTGCCCCCAAGGTATGGGCTCTGTGTTCAGTGCCCCACGGCACAGGGCTGCCCCACGGCCCACACATCGCTCTGTGCCCTCTGCAGCGCGGGGCCGGCAGTGGCCGGAGCTGGACACAGCGCAGCAGAGGGCCCAAATCCTGCGGCTGCTGGAGGGGCTGGAGGTGGTCAGCAGGGAGCGGCGGCTGCGGGCGGCGCGGGCCATCCTCTACCTGGCACAGGGTGAGCACCAGGCCCAGCTCTGTCCCAGAAGGGTCCTGGGGGGTGGCAGGGCAGCATTCGCTGACCACATTCCTCCCTGGGCCTCCCCAGGAGTGTTCGGAGACTGTGAGAGCGAAGGCGATGTCCTGCACTGGTCACGGCACAACAGCTTCCTGCTGTACCAGCTGGGCACCTTCAGCGCCTTCCTGGAGCTGCTCAGCATGGAGATCGAGTGAGAGGGCGCCGCAGCTCCCACCTTCCTCACCCTCCTTTTCATCCTATTCTCCTCCACAGCCTCCTCTTCATCTCAGTCTTTTTTCCATCCTCATCTTCCTCTCTTCCTCATCCCTCATCTTATTCTTTCCCCCCATCCTTCACCTTCTTCATCTCATTCTCATCTTCCTCACCCTTATCCTTCCTCACCCTTCATCTTATTCCTCTTCATCATCCTTACCCTCTTCATAATATTATTTCTCTTTCTCCTCACCCTCTTCTATCTTATTCTCCTCATCTTCTTTGCCCTTGTCTTCATTCTCCTCACACTCTTCATCTTATTCTCATCCCCCTCTTCTTCATCTCCTTCCTTCTTTGATCCTCCTCCACTCTCCTCTTCTTCACCTTATTGTCCTCATTCTCCTCCTCCCTCTCATCTTATTCTCCTCATCTTTGTCTTCCTCTCCTCCCTGTCCTCCTCACTCTCCTCATCTCATCCCTTCTCCTCGTTCTCCTCCCCGACCACCACGGCTGTATTTTGGGAGTGGGCTGAGGATGAGGAGCCGCCCCGCTGAGCTCTTCCCCTTCCCCACAGCAACAGCCAGGCGTGCAGCAGTGCGCTGCGGAAGCCAGCCATCTCACTGGCCGACAGCACCGAGCTCAGGTACCCGTGGTGGCACTGGGATCCGCTGGGGACGATGGCTGGGGACCACGTGTCACGTCCCCACCGCGCTGTCCCATAAGGGTGCTGCTCAGCGTCATGTACCTGCTGGTGGAGAACATCCGTGTGGAACTGGAAACGGATCCCCCAGAGTGGAAATCCTGCCGGGAGACCTTCAGGACAGAGCTGAGTGAGCCATGGGGGTCACGGCATCCTTCAGTGGGGACAGCCCTGCGATGGGGACGGCCCCAAGCTCACTCCTGCTCCCTCCCTGCCAGGTTTCCCCATGCGCTCCGATGAGCCCTTCGCTCTCTTGCTCTTCACCATGGTGACCAAGTTCTGCAGCGGCCACGCTCCACACTTTCCTATGAAGAAGGTCTTGCTCCTGCTCTGGAAGGTGCTCCTGGTGGGTGCCCAATTTCCTTTTCCAGGCACTGGGAATGCAGGGGATGGTGGTGGATGCAACCCAGTGCTTAATCCAAGCGTAGTGGGGCAACATCATTGAGCTTTAGATGTCCTTGTAATCGCAGTTGGAGTGGGTGACCTCTCAAGGTCCTTTCCAACTCCAACCATTCCATGATTTAGGATGGCACAAGGTGAACGATTTCTTTTGGGATAGGATGCAGAAGAAGGCTGGAGAAATGCTGTGCTTTCTTCCTTCTCAACTCCCCACTTTGATAACCTCCACCTAGAAGCTCCGAATTGCTGCGCAGCCCTGGGGCTCATCCCCTCCCCACTCTGCCACCTCTCTCCTTGGTCCCTAGTTCACGCTGGGAGGATTTGAAGCCCTGCAGATGATGAAGGTGAGGAGGAGGGAGGAGCTTGGGCTGCCACCCCTGCCCGAGGACAGCATCCAGGTGATGCGCAGCATGCGTGCCGCCTCACCGCCCACCTGCTCCATTGAGCTGGCTGAGCAGCAGCAGAAGCGTGGGCACCGCAGTCGGCGGGTAAGGGCTCCTCCTTGGGCATGGCCAACCCTTCTCCAATGGGTTTGATCCCATTTTCCTCCCCCTTTTCTAAGCATTTTTCATCTCATAAAAGCTGAAAAATAAAAAGCTGCTGCAGATCAGCCCTGTGAAGCACTCAAGATGGAGGAAGCGAGCAGACAGCCCTGACCCTATGGCAAAGGGCTGATAAGCGCTGAGACCAAAGTGCTTGCAGCAAACTTGTCTTTTTTTTAGCTCAGTTCCTGGTGTTGTGGTGGTGTGGTCAGAGGATGAAAATGCTTCTTTTGCTGGGGGGAGGATGTTGGATGGTAGCTCCAATAATTAAAAAGGAAAAGGAGGTGACAGAGAGTTTGTTGTACAGAGAGGTGCTGTTTCTTGTCCAGCGCTCTGGTGGCAGCCAGAAGGGAAATTCTCACCCAGGGCACATCTGGGAGTTCAGCCTTTTAGGATGGAGATGTCAGGAGATGTTGGCTGGGAGGAAACTAGACTCCATGGCATGACACTGATTTCTCCATCCGCTTCTGCTGCAGCCCCTGATGAAGCAAGACAGCCTGGATATCTACAACGAGAGAGACCCCTTCAAGAATGATGAAACAGGAGTTGATGAAGAGGAGGGTGATGAAGTGGATGGTGGGATCGAGGGGGAGCTGGACCTGATGGAGCGGGATGCTCTCCTCCCTGCCATACCAGTCCAGCGCCCTCCTATTGAACGGGTGTCTTTCCCCAAAGGGCTGCCCTGGGCCCCCAAAGTCAGGTAGATCGTGGGGTGTCATTGCCATCCTCCCCAGCCCTAGCCAAGTGTGGCCAGGGCTGGCCAATGCATGGAAATGCCATGTGGGGAATCCCAGGTGCAATGGGAAGGGATAGAGAGTGTGGGCTGGGAGCTTTCCCAGCCAGCTGCAATGGGTCTAGGTAGGGCAGTGCCCTGGGTTAATTGCGGTTAATGAGCATGGCCCTTATGCACCGAGTGGGACTCGCGTGTGGCCAAATGAAATCTTCTTGAGGGGCCCTGTGTAGAGGGCGAGAAACAGGAGAAACACAGCGCAGCATGAAGGATTGGTGCTATCCCTTCCAAGGCCAGTTCTGCTACGTATGATATGGGGGTGGAAAAGAGGGTGAAATCCTCAGTCCCATCCCTCAAATCCACGTGAGCTTTTTGCTGCTGATCTCATCCTGTGAAACACAGGAGCACACACGATGCGGTTCTGCTCCACGTCAACATGCTCAGCACTGGTTTTGGTTCACGTTGTTCCCAACCAATGTGAGCGATGGTGGCTGTGGTCAACAGCTATGAATACCTCCAGAAATTGATCCTAGAAAGCTAAAAGTTTCTTGTCCTGCACCATGCTCTTTCTTAGCAGTTCAGATATATGTGCGTTTTCCTCCTCGATTTAATTTCTCTGCTGCTCCATCAGGCAGAAGGACATTGAGCATTTCCTGGAGGCAAGCAGGAACAAATTCATCGGCTTCACTCTGGGACAGTGAGTGTCACGTGTGAGGGGCCACCAGAGCCTGTCCCCCAGCTCCCCTCGGTGCCATTTATCTGCCAGCAGATGTCCACAGAGACTGGGCTGTGTGTGGAATGTGTGATGTTTGTATGTGATAGAAGTGCCCCACATCTCCTCTCCAGTCTTGCAGTCATAGAATTATTAAGGTTGGAAAAGACCGCTAAGATCATCAGGTCCAACCATCAACCCATCACCACCATGTCCCCAGGTGCCACATTGCATGGTTCCTTTTGGAGAAGAAATTGTTCCTAGTAACCTGAACGACCCCTGTTGCAAGTTAAGGGCATACCTCCCATATTATCTCATCTTAGCCTTGTATTTACCTTCTGCCTTCCCCTCCAGGGACACTGAGACCCTAATAGGGCTGCCACGGCCCATTCATGAGAGCGTGAGGACACTGAAGCAGGTGAGACAATGACTCTAAGATGGGATCAGACTAATGGGGATCTCACAGAAATGAGGGAATCTTTGGCCAAGATCTCCATGGCCATAGAGAGAATGCAGGGCATCAAGTTTCATATGCAGCAGCTTTGGTGATGCATCATTCACAAAAGGTTTGGAGTTGCTTACGTGCGTGCTGTCAGACCACAGTAAAGGTCTGATGGAGATTCAGTCCTCAGCAAGCTCAGCAAATGCTGTCGTTGCTTGGTGTTGCATCCAGTAGTTGTAT